AATTCACGTTTGAGGAGAGCATCAGAGTGTAGTTCGAAGAAGGGATTGTATTTGTTGATATTGTTATTTAAGCTGATCACTGTGAATTTATTTTAACCACATAATATTAAACTTGTTTTGTTAAATTACCACAAATTTCATAAAATTAACTTATTTATACAAATTACATACTGACAACTAATTGCATTAAAATGAAATTACTGCAAATAAAAGACTTTACTTACATTGTGTAATAATGTTTGAAATAGTAAATAACATACCTTTCTTTATTTTTATTAAAAAAAAAAAATACTGCTTTATTTGAGTACATGGGACAAAAATCATGCAGTGTTACCCACTGGACTCATGAAATTTTTATGAACATTATGTGTGATCCATTATGTTACACACATTATGTGTGATAAAACAAAAAAATATATATATACGGAAGTTATTCTTAATGCCTTCAATCAAATTCCTGCATTACATTTGAGTTATGATTTACCTCTTGAATGCAAAGGTTAAAATATATCAGGTATTTTTTAATAAATTTTAATATAGCATTTCTAACCAAGTAAGAGAATACTTTAAGTGGAATGTTTCTCAGCTGGAATGTCAGTTTTGTGAAATATTTCATAAACAAGTTTTTTTCTTGATATTAATCGCTGAAATTCTTGATTAACTATTTATAACATACACAATGTAAAAAAGATAAAATTTACTTACTAACATATTTACAACAAATGAAATCTTCATACAAAATACTTTTGAGTAAGTACAAACCTACATATACTGAATACAACAGAATATCACATATAAATTTGTTTAATAATAAAATTTTATTAATATATAAAAAGGCACCGTTCTTTAGAATTCACCAGAATTTCTGTGAGTTGAAACGTTTACCAAGATCCATAAACATGTGTTGAAAACTATAAAATAGGTTAGATCACTACAAAAAGAGCTGCCAAATGAAATTTAAGTCATGTTCATGCTCATAATTACTTTTATAAAACCATATCACAGATTTTTCTAATATAAGGCAAGACAACTTTTATGTTAAAAAAATTACTTTTTTTATATATATTGCAAAGAATGCTATTTTGTGTTTCACATTATTTTTACAATTAAGCTAAGAAATCCGCTAAATTTTTATCTGTTCTCAGCTAAATTTAATTTCGGCTTCTTAATTTGTAATTTGCTCACACAGCATACAAAAGTTCTACAGATACTGCTACTATTTCCAAATAAAAATTTTCATATTTACACCATAAATAAATCATGCACGAAAAATTTTGCTTGACTCTAAAACTAAAAATTATTAATTATTATTATTTACTTTTGCATAAGTCTCCATTTTAAGAAAGTAGTATCTGAACTAGCTTAAACCTATTTCAGTACATTATTGATAAAGAAGCTTCCAGTTTGTTCCATTTCAAATATATATACATATTATACATTTAAAATACATAATTCTAAAAGCAGAAGAAAATCTAAACATTAATTAAATTAGAGTTCTTAAAGTAAAACAAGAAAACTTCAGAGTGATAGATCACTTTAAAGTTTATTATTTTATTGCATGACTATTTTGGAGGTAAGTTATTAGTGATTACACAGCAGAATGCTCTGTACACATTTAAAATGTAAAGGTTGGTCCAAAAGTAGATATTTAAAAAAAAAAAAAAAAAAAAAAAAAAAAAAAAAAAAACAAAACTTGTATTTCAGTAAATTTACAGTTTGTATGTTAATGCAGTTACACAAAGCTTTTTTTTTTTTTTAAATTTTTTATGTAATTTTTAACATAATTATATCTACTACACAACATGGTATCACAGAATCATAAATATATGACTGCTGTCACATCTCAGCATTATGCGAACTTGTTAAGAAACAATGTTTTTAGAACACAAAAGAGAAGCAAGTTTTGGATTTTATCACCTTACAGCAGTTTACACCAACATCTAGTGAAAGTCAAATAATAATTCATAACTTTTAGCATGAATGACCTTCCAAATCCCTAGACCTGAAATCCAGTAATTTTGATAAGGAACTACATGAAATCGCTGTTATAAGGAGTTTACTTAACATCATTGGTAATTTTAAAAGATTATTTAGCAGTTTGCATCAAATATCCCTAAGAGATTCTTTTTCTCCAGTCTACATGCTTTAGTTGATTTTCATACAGTGCTCAGTACAGATCCCTAGCACATTCGGTATTTATCTCAATGGGTTATTAATGCTTTTTATGGAGAGAGTGCCATCTGACAGACACAACTGTAATTAAAATATCTGCATAATCAAAGTCTTAAGAAAAATGACTTTATGCATTTAATTTATTCTGTACTGCAGAGTTATTAAAATGGAAATTTTCAAATATTCGCTGATTTTATTGCATCTTATTTTGCATAAATGCGAAAACTGCTGCTACCAATGACATATATTATGGATCACATAGAATGCAATGTGTTAAAATACTGTAAAATTTTTATTCAGGCATCATTTATAAAATCCTGATATAAAAGTTAAAATTGCATAAAAATGTTTCATTGCTAAGTCTTTATCACAGTTCAGAATAATCTTTCAGACTATATTAAAATGCTTTCTTATACCAAATTAAATATAGTGAAGCTTCTCTTGGCAACAATCTCTAAAAGTGACCAATATTTCTGAAAACATTAACAAATTTCAATAGACTATTATTATTTTCTAACCCTCTGAGTGGTGCAGGTTTTGACATCCATCATGAAGAGTCTATTTAAAACAGCCTTTATTTGCTAAATTTGTATACTGTCAAAAGTTGTTAATCCGGACTCGTTGGGACTTCGGCGATTCCGGATTATCGATTTTTCCGGATTATAGATCATCAGTTTAAATCTGGTACGATGGCATGCATAAATTATAAAATTAAAAGTATGAAACCGTAATTTATGAAATAAAGAACAATTATGATCTAAAGGGTATCAAAATTTACAAAAAAAAAAAAAAAAAAAAAAAAAAAACCCTAATATTTATTTGTTTACTTTATTAAACATTCTTTCAATGTAAGTTGTTTAAGTTGCTTCGTTTTATGTGATACTTTCTCTTTAATTCTATAAACACACATAATTTCTTGTTTAGTTACAAAGTTCTGCTGTTAAAGTCCTATAATTGCTGTGTTGAGAATACCGACTAATTTGTCAATTTAAATTTTTTTGTTTTCAATAACCTCTGCGTCACTTTCTTCACTATCGGAAGCGAATTATAATGACGAGGAATTTGATTTAAATCATATCAAAGACGGAGTACATCGAGATGAAATACTACATTTAGTAAGGAATTATAAGCCAAATAAAAAAAAAAACATCTGCCCTGAAGATAAGGATAGTGCTGACAGATCAACTTCCAATTCATTGCGCGCCCCGACGACTAGCATTTGCAGCGCCAGGAACAGATTCAAGTCCCTGTTCCTGGTCAAGGTGAACTTTTGCCTCAGCAGTATGATGTTTAGCTTCTATGCTGCAGACCTTGATTAAATCCCCAAAACCATTTACCACCCACAAGGACACTGATGCAATTAAGATATATAACCAAGAAATGGCATCACTAGACAGCCACAACAAAGTGAACTAATACCAAGTTCCTCGTCGGAATCGTATCACATAATCATCTTCAAGAAGGCTCTAAAATTAAACTATATGCAAATATGAAATTAATCTAACCCTTTTCCGTTCCACACACACACACCAGCAAAATTTTGTAAATGTTATACAGTCAAAAGTCGTTAATCCGGACTCGTCGGGACTTCGGCGTTTCTGGATTATCGATTTTTCCGGATTATAGATCATCAGTTTAAATCTGGTAAGATGGCATGCAGAAATTACAAAATTAAAAATATGAAACCGTAATTTATGAAATAAAGAACAATTATGATCTAAAGGGTATCAAAATTTACAAAAAGAAAAAGCTTAATATTTATTTGTTTACTTTATTAAACATTTCTTTCAATGTAAGTTGCTTCGTTTTCATGTGATAATACTTTCTCTTTAATTCTATTAAACAGACATAATTTCTTGTTTAGTTACAAAGTTCTGCTGTTCAAGTCCTATAATTGCTGTGTTGAGAATACCGACTAATTTGTCAATCGAAATGTTTTCGTTTTCAATAACCTCTGGGTCACTTTCTTCACTATCGGAAGCGAATTATAATGACGAGGAACTTGATTTAAATCATATCAAACACGGAGTACATCGACATGAAATACTACACTTAGTAAGGAATTATAAGCCAAATAAAATAAAAACATCTGCCCTGAAGTTAAGGATAGTGCTGACAGATCAACTTCCAATCCCCAGCGTGAAATTGATAAACAGATTTCGGATTTCAAAACATACTTTCGCTTTGTAGATACAAATTACATATTAGTAAATATATATCGGAAATTCTATTTGATATAATCGAAAGTTCAAGCTTACTTTTATAAAATTGCTCTAACAGTCTGCAAAAAATAATATGCCGGATCCAATTCGAAGATTAAGGAACAACGCAATGTGCAACATTAACTGAATTAGATAATTTTAGCTTAGCTTATACCTCTGTTACACATTAAACGTGCATGTGCACAAACATATTCGCAGCCGTAAAGGTCTTACGCGCACTCTTAAACGCCTGTGCGCATGCGTGAACGCGACGCATGCGCAGAAAGTTTGTAGCTTTGAGGTCCGGATTATAGATCATTCCAGATTATGGGTGTCCGAATTAACGACTTTTGACTGTAGAAGCAAATTTAACAGGTACTAAAGCTAAAATAGCATTTAAAAATTTATGTTTTCAGATAATACTTTTATATTTAAACTACAACATTCCAATTTATAATTAATACTTACTTCCAGATCTTAAAAAATGGCAATAACTAACAAGCGCATGTAAGAAAATTTCAGGAAAAAAAAATCAGGATTAAATTTAACAAAATTTTGAAAATTAAATAAGCAATCTGAAACCTTTAAAACCTATTAAAATTATACCTTAGATTGATTTTAAAGAAATGTTCTCAACATTTTAAATGAATTTGGCACAATCATGTTTGGCTATTTTCTAATTTTTTTTTATTTTTGATTCTCTTTTCATTTAAGCTCTTTCTTACTTTATTTCACTAATTTTCTTTTCTTGCACTATATCATCACAATCAATTGTTTTGCAATCATATGCAGAAAAATATCCATTACCGTTTTTTAAATTTTAAATTATCATTCCTAATTTCATTAATATTAAATGCAATTTTAAATATTCCAGTCACTTTTCTAAAAGATTCTAAAATCCAATTCATCATATATACATTATCAAAAAGGTCCCCAAATTTTTGTCCACAGTTGAAGACAAGTAATGTTATCTATGTATAGAAGTTGCTAATTCTACATCTAATTTGACTTTCTTTGAATATAAATCCAATTTGTTTTGTCAATACCACCAAAGATATTTGTTTCCAAATTACAAAAATCAGTAGTTCCCAGTTATTTAGCACTTTTAATTTCAGGGATTTTTATGTAGCTAAATAAAAGCTCAATGGCATGAAGTAATAGATCAAATAAGATTTCGTTTTTGAAGAAATCAGAGAGTTAGTTCTACGTGCATTTCTGTTTACACAGCATTTCTCTCAGATTTGAAGTCAAGCTAAAGTTGAACTCTGCACAATAAATACCAGCTTTTTGTATGTATTTTAATCTGAAACATATTACCAATTTTGCCTCTAACAAGGCTGAGTGGATAAAAACTACTACATATATTGTAGTTCGAGCCAGCTTAGAATCTCAGTAAATGGCTGATTACAAAGGCATTTTCATGGTTTTTCTTTTGTGTAATGTGAATGTGAGTCACTTTATATTACAAACAACTAGAACAAATAAGCAATTATTGTAAATATTCTATTAAAATTATTCTAAATATTATACATCATTGATTTGTTTTCAAAAGATTGGTCAAAGTTATGAACAGGAATAAAAAAAAAAAAAAAAAAAACATTTATAATCACATATCTGTCTTACCAAAAACAGCCCTAATACTAATATTCAAGATAAATATCACATAAGCCCAAGAAATGGCAAATATGATGCTAATTTAATGATCAAATTAAGTTTTTAAATGTTATTGCTGCAAGTTTGCAAATATATACATAATTTCATCAAAAATGGTACAAAATAGGACACATCTACATCATTAGCTGCTCATAAAAGCTTAAAAATGCTCAACAGCATGAAAACAATTTACAAAATATCTGCTGAATGATAAAAATGGAATGTACAAAGAATAAAATGTAATAGCTAAATATTCATATGACATGAAAAAGCATTTATAAAGATTAAATGTATATTATATGTATATTGCATATTATAGTTCCAAAAATGACATTTATAATCTGGATTACAAAAGGTATTTCACTTATACAAATCAAAATTACTGTACTAAAATATATGTAATTTTAAATATTTCTACTCCTATTTTTCAGTACATTCAAAACTTTGTTATGGTTTATTTCATAGCTCTGAAGCACACCAGGTAATATTAAGCATATGATAAAAGCTTCCAAACTTCTCCAGAAGTTTATGATAAATACTTTTGAAAAAAAAAACATAACAATACACCAACAACAATAGAAAATGCCAGCATAAGGAATGATGATTCCTTTTGTCACTTTACATTTTATACAAAAAAAAAAAAAAAAAAACTATATTCAAGAATTTCATACATTCTTATTAGGATACTACAGAACTGGTAGACGGTAACACAGACGATGTATTATTTATTATAGGAATAGAATTGTTATCAGGATTGTGTATTTCAATCCTTTGACTATTAGTTTGTAGATTAGTATTATTAGATGTACTGTCATTAATAGCTTGTTCAACGTCTTCATAAGCTGGTGGTGGTAACTAAGCATTGAGAAATAAATAACTTCATATTATACTCAGGTAAAAAAACATAAAAATAGTAAAATATATCATCATAAATAAAAATTACGGCAGGGAATATATATATATATATAAGAAAACACATTGCATAGCCATAAATATTTAATTACTAAACTAAAACCTAAATTTTTGGTAGTTCAGAAAGCTCTAAAAGAAAAATGTTCAAAAACATTTTACACAGTCCACATGTTTTATTTAAATATATTATTAACAGCAAAGTCTTAGAGTTTATGTATAGTAATTAATGAGGTTAAAAAAAATTCAAAGATAACTTGTTTTAAAAATATTATCTTTCCAAATAAAAGAATGGCAAAATGTAATTTTCAAATGCAGCTCACTCATGTGACAGCCTAGTTCAAACTAGTGCCTATAAAAGAAGAAGTAAACTGTCTAAACCAATGGACTCAACCTCTGTTTCCTTTTTGTTTCCTTTAAAGCACTGCCTGCAGTATTATGGATTTTAGCAATGCTATACCTCATTATATAAAAATAAAAAAATAATAATAATAAACCTTAATATATCCAAGTGTCTATTTAAAAATTAAAGTAATTTTTTATACTGGGGCAAATATTTTACTTTTTTTGACAAATCAGTTTTATAATGACTTTACAATACATGTCATTAAGTTTGATATCAGTAAGTCAATTTCTAAACAAATTCTTCCTATACTTCATTTTACATTAGGTTAATTCACAACAATGTATTGATGCAAAAAAAGGGGGAAGAGTGGAAACTTTAAATACACTTTAGTAGCTTCCAAACAATATTGTTTTCAAGCTTTTATTAATATAAAATAGCATTGCATGGTGTTACCTAAATTAAGCTAGTTTTGTAATAAATGCTGCCCCCCCCACATGCCAGGGATTTTCTAAAAACACCAGACAAATCTTAATATTTCTCACATTCTTAAGTCTAATCTTAAATTCTTTGGATAAGACAGCTTGAAATGCAAGAACTTTAAACTTCCATTCCGGGTTTCAAAGTTTGCTGGGCCACATGTGGTCTAAGAGCTCTGAGTTGGGTATGAATGGTCTAAACCTCAACCAAGATTGCTAATGGTTTGATAAAACTGCATATATTTTCTTTTCAGAGTTGTGAAATTGTCTTGAAGATATTGTGACAAAGACATGAATAATAATTTTAAAATTTTGTTTAACAATTCAATGTCTAGAAAAACTTAAAAATTAACTAAGTTTGAGGCGAAAGTCCGTCATGCTTCTTTTGAATATAATTTTGCAAGGTATCTATCTCATGTTATGATTAATGTAAAAACTAAAGAAGAATTGTTATATTGTTCATTACTTTTGCTTTTTTAACAAAATTAGTTGTTATAATGGATTTCAATCACGTAGTAGTAAAAGTACATAATCAAAATTAAACAAATTACTGAAAGCCAACTCATTTTTTGACAGTTATATTGTATATGGCATTATTTTTTTAATAAAAAATTTCTCATGAAGATCCATTTAAATAAAACATTAAAATATATAATAAATATTGCTCTAAAATATAATTTAATAGTAAAATTCTAGCTTTTTACCTGGATGGCAGTTTCATAAGGTGGTGGTTTGTCTTGATTTGCAAGTATACCAGATAAACTGCCTTCTGTTTGAGCACAAGTAGTATAACGAGTTCTCGAAGATGATCTGTGGCTGTGTTGCACTCTCCTAGGACTAGCTCTATAGATTCTTGGCATTCCTTGTGGGAAATAATAGGTAAAAGGAGTAGAATCATTTTGCTGAGAAACAGATGTAAACAATCGTGCATTATCCTCAAGTGGTACTGCTTGCCTTTCTCGGTTTATTCTTGAGGCTCGCTTTGCTTGCATTGACCTTATTCTATTAATACATTATTATGCAAATCAGTGCAAAACTGTTATTACTACAAATCCTGTTAATTTAATTAATATTCATAACAGTTCAACTAAACATCATGTCATTTGAACTAACAGCTTCACATATAATTCGCTCAAAATTTTCAACAAATGAAATTTCTAATAAAGTAGAGAATTTTACATTAATTATTGTGCCACTGTCTCAGACAGAATAATTGCATCACATAATTTTAAATAAATGTCAGTCATTCTGTTATTTAATCATAACTTAAAATTATACTTTTTATTAAAGAAAATGTAAAAATAAACAGAATAAAAATATAATACTGAACAAAAATGGGTGCAATAAATCAGAAAATATTATTATTTATTTGCATGAAAAAATGAATTTCAGTTTTGAAGAATCAAGAATCCATCACATGTGGAAGCAACAAATTATTTTATCCTTTGCACCAAATGTAATAAAACTGCCTCAATATGCTTGCTGTAAAAGTAAAAGAGTATTTGAAACAATCTTTTGATGGTCATTAAAAGCTTCAGTCATTGTTTTCCTTTATATGTAATATTCCATTTCAGTGATAACTGTAAATGGCACTATGTTTTTTCCAATATTCTTCTCAAGTATGTAATTTTTGCAGCACCACATATATGCCTTAGTTAACATTTAATACAGCAAATTAGTTCTGGATGCATTGTTCAAAGGACAATGGATTATTTCCAAGAATGAAGTCAACTTGGCTAGTGCACTATGACAAAGATTTGCTTTTAAAGGATGGCTTTATAAAATCAGTTCTGGTACGGTAAGCTTATTTCTGTTCATTATAATGCATACTTTGAATCCAAATTGGGCTTTTTCAAAAATAATGACCAGCAAAGGGATAATTACATGATATATATGCAATTTAGTTAGAATATCTCTATCCTAGACGTAAATGATTGAAATAAATGAGATGCATATCTCATTTATTATTCTATCTGATTTAACAAAAATGTCACAGGATTTTTTTAAAATGCTTACACTTGGAAATTTAGTATTTTGATATGGCAAGGCACTCAAGGAACCTCTGTCTAAGGAAAGGGATGCCTTCGTGAGGACTTTTTATACACTTGGGAAGGGCCACAGCATACTACAAAAGTACACAACTTCAAAGTGTATTACAAAAGCATACTACTACTTACAAATGGCTGTCTAAAGTCAGCTTTATATTAGAGGTTGATTTTATAAGAAAGCTATTTACAATTTTACAATTATTACATGACTATAAATAAAATAAAATGCTAATTATTTGAGGCAATATGAACCAATACAGAAGTCCAATGGTAATTAATTAACTAGTGTTGATCGAAGTTGTGAGCATCCACTGACATATATAGGTTCTATTATTAATCTGGTTTCAAAATAAGAAAAAACTATATCACCTTTTCTTGTGTGCAGGAACTGTAAACAAGACTCTGTTGAAAAAAAACCTTCTTCACGGAAAATACAATTTATTTTTACACCATATTTTGATTCACATTAAACGTTGAAAAGGGGAAAAACAAATATTTAACTACTATTTCTTATACAGCTTCTATCTCTTTCTCATTTATGACTGTAAAATTAACTAATGGGCCAGAGCGCCTGACTTTGCACTTTCCTTACATGCTCACATGAACCTGAATTGAAACTCACTGTCCTAGACACAAATAAAAAAAAAAAAAAAAAAAGTCTGCAAATGAGTCTGGAAGTAGTGGAAGTTTTCTAGATGACTGCGACACTAGTGACTCTGAAAGTAGTACAGATGGTCTCAGCCAAGCAAGACATTTTTCCGATCTAGGAAGCCGATCTACTTCCTAGATTTGCTTTCATTGTAAATCCAAAAATTAACTTGAATATTGATGTAGCTACCAGTAAACTTCAGTTTTACGGAGCTTTCATGGATGATTATTTGCTAGACCGATTGTTTTGGAAAGAAATAGTTAGGCTGAGCAGTGCATGCAAAAGTGCATTTAGCAGACATTCTAGAAGAAAAAATGGGAACCAACCTCAGATGAAATACAGGTATTTTTTGCTTTGATTATTCTTCAAGGTATTATAAAAAAGCCAGTAATTGAGCAGCATTAGAGCAAGAGGCATTCTACATCTACAGCATTTTTTCCCAAAGTAATGCCATATCATCATTTCCAGTTAATTCATAGTTAATTACATTTTTCAGATAATGAATAATTTGATATAAATTCTCATGAGTGCTCAAAATTAGTTAAAATCTGGCCCGTGCTAAAGCATCTGAAAACCAGGTTCCAAAAACTCGTTACTCCTGAAAGAGATGTCACCATAGTCTTATGTTATACAAAGGAAGACTAAGTTGGAAACACCATATCCCACTAAAATGATCGCGGTTTGAAATAAAAACATACATGCTTTGTGAATCAAAGACTGGATATGTATGGTCTATTTTAATTTACACAAGAAAAAGGAACTGTATTTGATGACAGTTACAAACATTTGAGAAAATCGTCTCAGGTTGTAATGACACTAATGCAACCACTTTTACATAAAAGATACTGTCTGACAACTGATAACTTTTATTCATTGCCTGAAATAGCAGATGTCTTGATTAGATGCTGCACAGATATGTATGGAACATTAAAACTTCAGAGAAAGGAAGTTCTTAAAGCACTGTTGAATGAAAAATGGTCGCTTACCAGAGAGGAAAAGTGTGCATTATGAAATGGATGGATACTTTGAATAAGGCACTCAAGGAAAGCAGTGTCTCTGATATCTACAGTACATAATCTAGAAATGGTTGAAGTACCCACATACAAGAATGATATAAAACGAAAAACGAGGGTAGTTATGGAGTACAACAACACAATGGGTAGTGTAAATTGAATGGACCAGAATCTAAATACTTATCCTGTGATTAAAAAAAGGGATAAGAAATACTTCATCTCCTAGACATCAGTTTATGGAATGCTTATGTGTTGTACAAGAAGCATGGCAGTAAAGATATAAATTTACAGTTTCGATTAGATATTATCGACCAACTAATTGAAAGATATGCAGCAGTAGAAGAAAGAAAAGGTTGACCTGGAAATTTACCAACTCCACTAAGACTGACAGAGAGACATTTTTTAGAGGTGATTCCACCTACAGACAAAAAACTAAGACCTGCAAGACAGTGCTATGTGTGTTCATTGAAAAAAATGACAATGGCAAAAGAATTAGATGAGAGACTAGGTATTTTTGTCCAGACTGTGACACTGGACTATGTCTCTCACCCTGTTTCAAGATGTATCACACTAAATCAGATCTCTGAAAAACAGGGTAAGTAAATGTAATTGTAGAATTTGTAATAAAAAATAATCATGTAGTAATTGGAAATAATTGCATAGTAATTGTATTTTTATATGCACAACAGTAAATATAACTTCCCTGTGAGGCAACCATGAAAGAGAAAAGACAACTTCCAGGGAAAACATTATTTTATGTCCTCTAAAAAAAGTTGTTATAAATGCTTAAAATAATTAGAAATATTACTTTTAATAACATTTTCCAGCTTACAAATGTAAAATGAACAAAAATATGCAATAAAATAATGTGACATTTTTTGGATCGAAGTCGTGAAAAAAATAAAACTGTTAAGTTAACCTGAGAAAAATCTCTACAAGTGTTATTTTTAAGATTCTGTCCTCAATCTCTTTCTTGCTATAAATACACTTCTGGGATGAATGTAAACAAAATGGCCACTCGAGGTTTGAATACAATGTCTAGAAAGGTATGAATAAATAAATTCTTGAAATATTTAGATTAATTTTAAAATTAATTAACCACATAAATCCAAAATTATACATTAAACAGCAACTTAATATACATCAAAACTAAGAATTTAAAGTGAAAATTTGTTGGGATTTATGATACATGTTTGAAAACGTACAGCAAAGCAGGTGGAAAAAATGCTGAATAATTTCAATAGTAAAATTTGATTCTTCAATAAAAATATGTTACAAGTATGGTATATTTTTGTTAGTTAATTTTCATTAAGTTCATAGTTAAGTGAATTTTTATAAATAAAAACTGCAGTTAAATTTGCTGAGTTTTTTGGAAAATGTAAGTTTTATTTGTTTATGTTCAAAACTGAATGTAGCTAACAGATATTTACAAATTGAACTTTCACAGATTATCAGAGTTCTACTGTACTATCTCAGGTAACTGAAAACAGACAAAAGATATATTGTCACAACCACTGCAGATATATGGTTAAGGAAATTTTAAGAAACGTTGCCAGTTTTGAGTGACCTCTTTTCATGCTTCAAAAAATTTAATTTTCAGCTACATTATTCTTTTACACCATATAGCACATTTACAAATAAACATGTGCACTACTAGTTGCATTTTAATATTAATGACATGTTTCATGTTAAAAATAAGAAAGTTAAGATAGCAACAAATAATTTTACACTTGACCATTTCGGGCTTTCTTAAAAATATCTTTAAGTTTTTTTAATGGTGATTTGTTTTTTCTTTAGGACAATACTTTAGAGTCATATCGGCATCAAAATGTCAACAGATGCAGCGCCTTTCTGCGATCGAGTAAGGGGAGGGGGGGACTGTTTTTATAACACAGACTATTATAAAAAAATCTTATATAGATTTTTGGTGTTTAGTATAAAATTCATGGCAAAGCTTTCATGTGTTGTTACAAAAATGATAAAATATATTTAGCAGGCCATCTCAGACAATGAAGAACCTATATTAAAGTTCTGATGAAAGGGACTACTTTATTCCATTACTGCACACTTTATATTGTTTACTTCCCAATATACATCAAATTATAGCATCATTAAAAAATCATCCATAATTAGAAGACATGAAAACTAATAAAAGCCCCTAGAAATACAAATTTAAATGGCATGATAAAAAAAAAATTATGTAAACGTGATCACTTACAAATTCTCATCTACAGAAAATTTATCTGAGGCAAACTTCTGCATATTATTTAAGAATACAAAACAAGAAGGTCTTTCAGTTGCCAGAATCAGAGATTTAAATAATTAAAATTTAGTACATCATTCAATTATTACTTTATAATATTGTAAAGTATTCATTCATTTCATCTAACCAGTTATTTTATGTTCATTATCTTTGCTGTCATTCTCCCTTTCCGTTTTCCTGATAGAATGCTAATTTTAGTTTGTGCGCATTCAGATGACTTGGAAGGAGATAGTATTTGAAGAAAGATTTTAGATCATTTAGGCAGAATGTGTTCCACCTGCCAAAGACCATGTTACTAATTGAAAGTCTATGAGAGCAGTCTATCTTAGGCATTGCTCTATTCTTGAAAATAGTGCTTGTCATGCCAGTATAGGTTTGAGCCAATTTGTGCATTATTCATTTCCGTGTAGCCTTTGGCTTATTTAAGATTTAACTTAGTTTTAATTTGATTCTTTACTTTTTTGAGTTACGGTATCAATGCTGGCTGGTTTTCGAAATACAACAAGTGCCTTCTCTTAAATTATTCAGTTCTTAATAAAAGGGTCTTTTACACCCTTCTTATATTCTCTATTTTCTTACTGGATATAGCGACAAGTCGCTTACAGCCATATAGAGTCTCGACTTAGTGTATACTTCCCAAGAAAGTGAGGTTCTACTATGATTTTCATCTATGAAACACTAGATGTGTAACTACACAGATATACTACTATTAACAATATATAACTGTGAATTCAATGCTTATTTAGAGTGATGAAGGGTACATTTAAGAACATCAATTTTAACAAGATAAAATGAATATTACTACTACTACCACCTTTTATTATTATTACTATTATCATTATTATTTAGCAAATATGAAAAATGTTCACAAAATAGTTACTATAAAATACTTACAATGGAGATACCCATCTCAAGCAAATCAGACAAGCAGCAAATACAAAGACAATAGCACATACAATAAGTAGCGTCTTCCATGGGAAAGGTACAATAGGCATGTCCAAACTTAGGTGCTTAGCAGATACTATAAACAAACAATATGTACATATATTTTCATGCATTATAATACAATGTATTAATATATCAGTTGTTTTAGTTGTTTTTCAAAAGAATTAAGTACTTTAATTGACCTCAAGTCCATAAATGCTTTATTTAGAGCCTCAAGGTCAGAAAAACTCTTGAATCAAACACAGGAAATCATATGCAGTTCTATTCTGGTAGATTTTTATCAATAACTTAAATACAGTCATGTTATGGTCAGAGATCAAAAAGCCCTATCGGAGTACTGATTTATTTTAGCAAATGATATTTTAATTTACTGACACATACATTATGTTAGCAATTCATTTTTATACACATTTTTTATTAAATTCATATAGTATATATATCAAATTATTATAATTTAAACCTTTCAGAATCTTCCCTTTTACAACAGACAGAAACAAATGATTTTAGATTAAAGATTCAACAGTACAAAAATTACCAGATTTTATTATTTAACTAATTACTTTTTGTGAAGAAGCAGATTATAAATTCATTTACTAACCTGTATAAGGGCTTTCAAGGTTACTGAATACAATTTCTAATGTAAAGATTTTTCAGGGTTACGCAAGGTTTACACAAAGAATTTTTTATGAGTATTTTAAAATTTTATTCAATAGTATTTTTAAAAAATAATTCTATGGTGCATTTCTTTCTGAATCTTTGTTATACTAATACACTGCCCATTCATTTTTTAAAAAAAATATTTGTGAGCAATTTACAATGAAATTAATTTTAAACAAAAGCCTTTATATAAATCCACAATATGTCATGTAAAATTCAATTAATAAGAGTACCCTTTTTTCTTAGATCAACAGTATATAATGACCACCTCAACAAAAGTTTAAAAAACATCTGGAAATCTGCATGTCATCATAAAAAGTAAGAAGTAAGATATTCTGTAGATTTTTAATTATTAGAAATAATCAGTGTTACCTTATAAATACTTTTTAAAAAGAGAAATTTTGTATAATTTAAGTAGGAATTTTGCATCTTGAAAGAATATTTAAAATTAATTGGAAGCCATTTCAAAAGTTTAAATTTCATCAATAAAACACTATTTCCCCCAATGTAAGCCACACTGCACATTTTTGATGCTATAATGGAACATTAGGGATTATTTCTTTCCTCAGGCCTTTGGTTTAATAATAGATGTGTTCCTCCCAAATTCTTTTTAATTTATTTTTTCAAGTTACTTCGCTTAATAATTATTTCTGTTAGTGCTTTGTCCATTTCATAGTTGAAACTCCCTTTGAAAAAGAGGAGAAATATGAAATAAAAACAAATACAGAAAAAAGGGTACTCTTATTAATTGAATCTTACATAAATAAATAAAATATCTAAAACTAAAATAAAAAATAATGATAATAAATATTGCTCTAAAAGAGAGTCATACTGAACAAAACAGAACACATAAATGAATTGTATAGCAGTATTAAACGGAACGTGATATCCAACAAACTGCATTTGCATCTGGACACCTTTTTCTTCCTGGCATGAATGAAGGCTGCATAGCCACTGCAGCTTTAATTTCACAAGACAGTTTTCAAAAAATAATTTTTCTTTGTGAAAAATATCATTATCCTGAAATAAAATAGCCGCTTGTTCAACTCTAAACAAATCCTAAATCATAAAATCCATTGCAGTAAAAATAAAAAAAAATTAAAAAAATTAAAAAAAATAATAAAAAAATTAATGAAAATGTGGTTTATAAAAAATGTCAAAGAAAGATGAAAAAACCAAACTGGCCATGTCAATCCCCCCCCCCAATGTCAAGTGACGTGGTTCTAACAGAAAACTTTTGCTGGTTCTGTAACTTTTGTTTTTGATTTTACTTTTGCTCAGTTAAAAATTTAAATCAGAATTTAAAAACTATTTATTTTTCACTTTAAAACAATTTCACCAAACAAAAATATCAGAATAATTTTCTTGAATTGATTCCCTTAAATTTGTTTTTTCACACAGCAAGTGCAGAAGCTGTTTGCACATTTTTTAGATGATTTTGCTTTGCTATTAAAAAATCCTCATCCTATTTTTTTAAAAAAAAGTTTAACTGCAGCTATATTCTTGAAAGTATAAATTATTGTTTGCTACTTGACAGTTTTGTTTTCACATAAAATGGCACTTTTAAAGAAGCAATAGATGGAAGGCTATGTCTGGTATATGTATCTAGGTATTAAAAACACCGTGAAAGCGATGGTTTTTTTAATATTTAGAGCTACAATAGGTCACTCAATAAGTCCCTGGCCTAACTATTAAAACAGCAACTTTTAGGCAAAATTGAACATTATGCATCAAGACACTCTCTTTCAAGAGTGATACATTCAGTCCAGCACTCCTCTGATTTTTTTATATCTTTTTCATAGAATGCTTTGTCTTTGTTTTCAAAATAGGCTTCAGCTTTAGTAATCACTTCTTCATCTGAGACAAGCTTCTTTCCCTGGAGCATTCTTTTGAGATCTGCAAACAGCCAGTAGTCACTGGGGGCCAGATTTGGACTATACTTTGGGTTTCAAAGCAATTCAAAGTGTAATTCGTTCAATTTGACTCCAATTTTCAAATTTTACAGATTCAAACCATGATAAAATTTCACCTTTAACTTTGATTTCATTACTTAGCAGATCACTAAATATATTAGATTCTCATAAAAACTTATCATAATGCTCACTATTTCAAAATCTTAATGTGCAGTTCAAATCAGAAACAAATCTAACACCACAATTTAAATTAAAACTTATTTTTAGTTTTTGAAATAGTCCTAAAATAATTAAATTCCACTTTACTGGTTTATATATTACAGTGTGTGGCTCTAAAGTAAATACAAAACATAGCTAGGACAGGCTCACATCTTTAATCAACATTTATAACTCAACTGCTCTAATACTCTATGTAAAGAATATTTTCACCGCAATTCTACCAAATGTAAGTAGCTATAATAATATTCATTTACAAGAGCTACAGCATCTTATCTATCCTGTCCTAAAGGATAAATCTGTAAGGGGTAATTGGTAATACAGTCAAAAGTCTTTAATCCGGACATTCATAATCTGGAATGATCTATAATCCGGACCTCAAAGCTACATACTTTCTGCACATGCGTAAATGCATAATGTTTTTACGCATGCGCATAATACCTTTACGCATGTGCATAATACATTTACGCATGCACGTTTAATGTATAACGGACGGTATAAGCTAAGATAAAATTATCTAATTATCTATTTCATTTAATGTTGCAGATTGCGTTGTTCCTTAATGTTTGAATTGGATCTGGCTTATTATTTTTTGCAGACTGTTAGAGCAATTTTATAAAAGTAAGCTTGAACTTTCGATTATGTCAAAAAGAATTTCCGATTATGGAATTGCCAAAGGATCTACAAAGCAAAACCATGTTTCAATGTCCATCAAACAAAAAGTGAAATTGCTGCAAAAAATGGATAAAGGCATATCCTATGTTTCTCTAACCATTCCGAAATCTGTTTATCAATTTCACGCTGCTTTGCGGGAGGGGGGGATGTCGCGCCGCACAATGAACTGGAAGTTGGTCTGTCGGCACTATCCTTATCTTCAGGGCAGATGTTTTTATTTTACTTGGCTTATAATTCCTTACTAAATGTAGCATTTCATCTCGACATACTCCGTCTTTTATATGATTTAAATCAGATTCCTCATCATTATAAATCAAACAGTTTTCTGGTTCACATCAAACAGTTTTCTGGTTGCAATTTTCTAATTTCGACTATGAGTAATGTATGCTTTACGCATACGCGCGTTTAAAGAAATGTTTAATAAAGTAAACAAATATTAAGCTTTTTTTTGTAAATTTTGATACCCTTTAGATCATAATTGCTCTTTATTTCATAAATTACGATTTCATATTTTTAATTTTATAATTTCTGCATGCCATCTTACCAGATTTAAATTGATGATCTGTAATCCCGAAAAATCGATAATCTGGAATCCCCGAAGTCCCGACGAGTCCGGATTAAAGACTTTTGACTGTAGTTTTCCTAAAAGTCATGCTTCTGTTTTTAATTCCAGCAGACAATACTTGTCTCTTTATTACAAAATGAATCTTTTGTGAACATACCATTAAATAAATTTGCAAAAAAAGGTTCTTCGAAAATCCCGTCGACCATTTTTGCCTGAATATTTCCAAAGTTATGGAAAATTTCATTATATTCATTCTTATTTATTATTATTACATTCATTCTTATTTATTCTTTATTATAATGAGTTTGAAAGAAACATAAGAATAGAACGTTTGTTCTTGTATTTAGTAAATGGCTTTTTTTGGTTTTGCGCAATCGGCGTTGTCTCTTGTGGTCGACGGGATTTTTCATAAGTACCCAAAAAAATACCATTTCCTACAGTACCCTTGCAAGCTATGAAAAACTAGGGATGGTGTCATTTGAAAACTATAAATAATTTTGCTGTTTTAAAAGAAAGGTGAAAGGAAATTTCAGCAATCTCATATAAATTTTCTGGTTGCAGGGTGTTTTGATGACAGAGGAATTGGTGTTTAAAGAATTAATACATTAATATCAATCAATAAAATGAATTATTCAAGTACTGAATATTCTTAATGAGCTCTAGATATGTAAATAATGTTTTTTAAATTACAATTCATTTTATTTTATATACTACAAAGGTTTCAATTTACACCTGAACTGTCTTTCTGCGTTTTCATAAACATCTCAATACAGGAAAACTACTTTTATTGCCAAGCTAAAGATAAATATTCAAAATACAAAAATTTTTAAAATGCAACATTTTATGTTGCTTTTTTAAATTAAACTTGAAAACATGATCTCAGATGTATTAAATTAAAATAAAATACATTCTACTTACCAACACAAGTATTCACTTTCTTAATTTTAAGTGATGAATGAAAAATATAACTATCTTCAGATTTACACAGACATGGGATCATTTTACAATAAGCCCCGACATGATACTGGCGGCAGTCAATAGGATTTACACAAAACACAGCTAAAGATGAATCTAAGATGGAAAAAATAATCTGGTTTAATCAAAAGCAACTTTTTATCACATCTTTCCAAAGGAACAATCACTTTACAGTAAATAAAACAAATTTTTGTATATGCTTATTTTCAATCATATATGAGAAAGCTAAAACTTGCATATTTCTTTGCATTCTTCAAAATAAAATATAACACTTATCTTTATGCACTACAATTTAAATTAGACACATTTAACACATTACCCTCAGGCTAGCTGAAGTAGCCAACATCCTTCTAATGGTGAAAAAGGGGAGGGTTAAAAAATGTTTTAGTTTGTAAGAATTTTAACTACAATAGAGGTACCTACTCATACTTATTCAACAATTTTCTGCCATATGCGATATTTACCAGAAGAGTAAGTATCACTACTTTCCATCAAACTGCATCTTAACACCTTTGGGTACTTTTCCGTTTCGCCGGCACAAATCTCGCCAAGCAGTTTCATTGGAGACAACATACCATATACAAGTATATATACATAAAAAATATTAACAAATGTTAGTTCTAAGAATTTTTTATTTTAAAGACAAACACATCAAATATTAAGCTTAATATTTTAATATCGTTTAAAATTTTGTAAAAAGCCAATAAATAAAAACGAATAAATTTGTAAAAAGATTTTAATTTAAGAATTTACTATGCTTTCATAATTCAGCACACTACAAACTACACTACAAAAATCTAATTATACATTAATTTCAAGTTAAATCTTAATTTGGAATATAAGTTTAAATGTAGGAATTATTTCAATTCATACGAATAGCTTACTTAGAAGTTGTGTAAACCCGCAGTGCTGTAGTTCGCTAGTGCATTCTCATTAGAATTGATGAATTTAAATACCAGTATTGAAAGAAACAATCAATCTGATAAGAAATGGCTGCGACTTGTTTTGAAGATGAGGCGTAAAAGGTTACCAGTGAAGACATTCTGTTTAGCATCAGTTATACCATTATTGACAACTTTATCGCCTGTGCCAGCAAAATGGAAAAGTACCCACCTTTGACTACTAAACACTACATATATGTCCAACTAAAAGTTTTAAAAATACTTAATCTCCTGAATGTTGGGATCATCTTCCAATAGTTGGAAAATCAAGACGCTGCTGTGCTCCTTGTACACAAATGAACATACAGAAAAGAACAAATATGAGTTGCGCAATGTGTAATGTTTTATGCAAAGAATGTTTTACCCTGTACCATACAATGTAAAATCTATTTCATATAATAAAGTTTTACAGAATGCTTATATTAAGTCGTCTTAATGCTTATCTATTAGTTATATTAAGTTGATCTATTAGTTATATTAAGAGCTTATATTAAGTGCGTGAAACATATGTATACCACCATTAACTGTCCGAGGCTCAGAAGTTACAGTATTTAAAAGGGGTTTTAAAAGACGATGCTCAAAAGATAGTACAGTCGCTTTCTATTACTGACAGTAATTTCAAAATTGCTTGGGATCTCGCTGCAGAGAGATATTTTCATAAATGTGAGATATTGTCTTCATTGATAAAACAATTCTTAAATTTGCCCTAACTTATGAATCTTATGCTCAGATTCTGAAACTAGTTGATTTAAGTAAAGAATATTTGAGATTAATAGAGTCCTTGGACGTGAAAATTTGAAAAACCAACAGATCTTATTATCATGTTTACTGTGCAGTTTAAACTAGATCCAGTTACAAGAGGCTGGTGGGAGCAGTCCATTACAGATCATAAAATTCCTTCCCTGAGTGAACTACTGCAGTTTCTTTCAAAACATGTTAAATCGTTAATTACTAACAATTCAGATTCAAAAAAGACTTTTTCTAAGAGGGTTACACTAGTAGCTTCGGATTTTCAATCACAGTGTGTTTACTGCCAGGGAACTCATGTACTGACTAAATGTGATGCATTTCTCAAGCTGTCTGTCCAAAAACGACTTAGTTTTGTAAAATCAAAAAATACTTGATTCAATTGTTTAACACAATTTCACTTTAAATCAATCTGCAGGAGTTTTTATTGATGTCGCAAATGTACGAAACCCCATCGCATGTTATCACATTTTCACGACACTACTGAAGGTAGCACTAATCCTCCAACAAGGAATACAATTAATAAACAAGGTCTTTCTGTGGATGCTAAAGTGTTTGCACCTTACAATTTTAAAACTACTACTGGTGACGTTAATGTAAATTGTGAAATTGTTTCAAATTCGATTACTTCTTGTTGCTCGGATTTGGGTTCTGATACCCAGGTGCTACTATGCACGGCTCTAATGAATGTAACAGATTCCTCTAGTAGAATTTCTATTTGTCGTGCTCTTTTGAATCCAGGCAGCCAAGCTTCTTTAATAACAAACAATTGCCTAAAAAGATAGAGTTTGTCAAAAAAATAACGAATGTGATAATTTCGTGTTTCGGTACATCAAACACTCATACAAATGGTGTTTCTCAGATTATGTTTACTACTCATTTTTTGTCAAATCCTTCCTTTGGTAGTTCTGTCTACATTGTCAAGAAAATAGTGAGTCAGCTTCTGCACGTTAATTTGGATCCTTCTTTTTCTAAACATTTCACTGATCTTACATTAGCAGATGCAACCTTTTACAAGACTGAACTCATTAATATTCTTCTTGGTGTGGATATAGCACTTCTAATACTTAAAGGTCAGACACTCTCATTGGGAGACGGAAAGCTCTTTGCTGTTCAATCTCAATTAGGATGGCTAATTGCAGGCAGGGTTCCCTCATTTGACAAAAATTTAATCGTTCAGGTTAATACCATTCAATTAGTCAGTGATAAATTGTTAAATAAATTTTGGGAACTAGACAAGGTACCTGCTGTAAGCTCCTTAAGTCATGATGAAAAGGCTTGTGAAGAGCACTTTAAATCTATGCACTGTAGAGGATACTGATGGAAGATATGTCATGAGGTTGCCCTTCCATACTTCACCTTCTCAGTAATTCCAAGACAGATGCCTTCCGCATATTGAAATACTTGGAGAATTCCTTATCCTTCAACAGTAAATAATATGAACAATATACAGACTTTATGCGTGAATATCTATCATTAGGATATATGGACTGATTTCACAATCTGAGTCTACAAAAATAAATGCATACTATCTTCCTCATTTCGCTGTTCTTTGTGATTCGAGCACTACAACAAGGCTAAGAGTTGCCTTCGATGGTTCCTCCAAGACATCATCTGGACAATCTTTAAATGATCTTTTAATGATAGGTTTGGGAATACAGGATGAGTTACTCACTATCCTTATTCGTTTTAGAAGTGCTCAAATTGCGGCGAGTGCTGTTATAGAAAAATTTTTAAACAAGGTTAATTTTGAGGATACTGATTGGCAAAGAATTCTTTGGAGAGAAAGTCCTGAAGAGCCAGTTAGAGAATATATATTACTCACTGTCACCTACAGCACAACATCGCCATTCTTATGCACAAGAGCTATGCAGCAATTGGCTTTAGATGAGAAAAATAATTTTCCTTTGGCTTCACATGCTACCCTTAGCGATTTCTATGTTGATGATCTTCTGAGTGGAACTTCATCAGAGCAAGAAGCTCTAGAGCTAGTGAATGAATTAAAGAATATGATGAAGAGAGGTGAATCCAACCTTCGAAAATGGCTTCGAAAATGGTTCCATTAATATTTAAAGAGCCACCAAGTGAGGAAGAAAAAGATCTGATGCATGTTGGTTCAGATGAAGAAGTTAATGTTCTTGGTATTAAATGGAATACAAAAGCTAAACGTTTTCATTTTGCAGTTCAACCAATTGAAGACAAATTGACATTTTCAAAAAAAGAAATTTTATCAGAAGTTTCACGTGTTTTCGATCCCTTGAGTTTCATAATCCCTTGCATGATATTTTTGAAAACCTTCCTTCAGGAACTGTGGAAAAACAACTTAGCTTGGGTTCAATCCATCCCAGAAGACATGACAAAGAGATGGATATCCTTTCACAAAGAATTTCCTCTAAACCAACAACTAAAAATACCTAGATGTGTATTGAAAACACGAAGTGCTGAACTAGAAATTCATGCATTCTGTGATGCTTCTGAAAAGGCTTATTGCAACATGATTTATGTGAGATATATTTCAGAAAATTCAGATGTAAACATTTCTTTACTTACCTCTAAAACGAAGGTTTCACCTCTAAAAATCCAATCTCTGCCACATCTAGAATTAGGTTCAGCTTTACTGCTAGCAAATTTGTTGCATGCATTCCTAAGAGACTTTTCTGCACCAGTTAAACGCATCATAGTCTGAACAGGACGGTTATTCTACGCTACGAGAGTCGACAGCAAGTTGTGGGCCACCAGATGTCGCTGCTAGTAAAAAACAGGTCTGCCCAACATCCTATATTCTCTGAGTACGGAAGTTGTCGAAAGCGCGTGAAAAAGTGTTGCCGCGTCGTCCAATCAGGGTGTCCAGTTGACGTACTAAGTAGGACAATGGCTTTTGTATGTGTTTTCGCCGCTGATTTTTTTCATATTTAAACGAAGAATACCGTCGTAGATCTCTGAATCGATGGCGAATTTATAGAAAATATGTTGATGCTTTTGCTCTGCCAAAAGATGTTTTTCATTGCGTATTTCAGATTGCCAAATTTATAGTTATTTTAATTTGGGATGAACTGAGAGAGTATTTGAAGCCACATTCAAAACAAGAACGTAATTTCTACTGAAAGAAAGGTTATACTATTCCTGAAATTATAGATATAAATTGTAATTTGTACGCTTTAAAAATGTAGAAGATAATAAGTTTTATCAAGCACATAACCCTTCTTCATTTAATACCAAATATAGACATTCGATAAGCTTCTACTCGATTTATGTACAGCAAGAATTACGTTTACTTTAAAATCAACAGTTGAATACCTTACGAATAATACTGTGAACACAAAAAATGTCGTTCATTATTACGCGAAATTCACACTAAAATAAAAATTTAAAATAATAATAATAATAATAATTATAAAACTATAAAAT